CATTAAAATATATGATAGATACACAACTAGAAAAGCTTATTAAGGAAGTTTCAGTTAATGCACCAAATGATATAGAATATATAGCAAGAAGCCTAATGATAAAAGACATAGACAAAATCACAAACTCAGAATTAATTGCATATAGCAGATTCTGTACAGCATTAAACAAAGCTAAATGCAGAAGACTAGAAGAAGATTAAATAGAGAAATAGGCAATTAAGGCTAAATAGATAAGCCAAAACCCAAAGTCAATTGAATATATAGCTGAAATAAATAAGAAGAAATCAAAAAAAATTCAACAAAATAAAAGGAATAACAAGAATACAAGAAGAAGAAAACATATAAATAGAAGAATTGAAAAAGAGAAAGCAAGAAGAAGAACCGGAAAAAGGATAGAAACAGGAGAAAGAAAAGTAAAAAAACCAATACAGCAAATAGAAAGTAAAAGAAAGAGAGACAAACAACCAGAAATCATAGAAATTATAGATACAAAACAGAGTGCATTAGAGTGGATTAAAGAAAGAGTATCTTTAAAATAGACCTGAGGTCTATATTATTAACCTATAACCTCTAAAAATAGCCAATCAGAACGCATAAATTTTAATTTTCTCGAATCAGCTTAAAGTCAAAACAAAACATATGTACAAGAAAAAAAAAGAAAAAAAAGTGAAAATACTTAAAAACTAGTATTTAAATTAGCATTTGTACACTATCAAAAAATGTTGGGTATATAATTTTACATATAATAAATGCAGAAATAAGTATCAAAGTCTATAACCACCAACTCTAACTGGAATCCTAATATAAAGCCTAATACAAATATGCTACATCATGCTACTGGTGGAGTCTAGATTAATAACATAGACTCCAGATCTATTTTAAAGATACCCTTAAAGAAAAAACAAAGAAAGAAAAAATAAAGGGAAAAGTTAAAAAAGACAAAAAAGCACCAATAGAAAGCATCGCAAGAGATAAAATTAAAAATATTAAAAAAAAATACAAGAAATAGAAGAAAAAGACCATCAAGACTTGGTAGCAGAGTTAGCATGTAACTCAATAGAATGCAGCATCTAGTCACCAAACAATAGAATATATAAAGGTAATAAGTCTTTCTTCGCAAAAGCACATATTTGCAAAGTACTAGATAGTATACCAAAAAAAAAAGTTGCAAATTTAGAAAGAATTTTGAATAAAGACAAGTATATGAAATTAATACAAGAGATATTCAAAAATGGAAATAGCTGGATAGAAGTAGAGTTCGATAGTGAATATAGCAGAATGAATGTAATTAAAAAAGTTGAAAAAAAAGAAGACTAACTTCGGCTTATTCTAAATTTGGATAATAAGAAGCAGAAATCTGCTTAAAGAAGCAGAGAGAATAAGTATAAGAAGAAAGAAGCAGACTGCAAGAAAAGAATCACAAGCTTACAAGAAAAAGAGACCCTTATGAAGAAACAAAAAGAAGTGAAAGACAACATGAAGGAAACAAAACAGAATGCACCAGATATATTACTATTTGGAATCTATCAAAATTAATTAGTATAAAAGAAATTCAATATATATGCAAAAAATTTGGTAGATTAGAAGACATCAAGATTAAAAGAACAGAATACAGAACAATAGCAGAAGTAAAGCTAGGATTCAATGTGAAGAAATACAAGTTCTACCACTGAAAAATCGAAAGTTAGCACGAGTTTTCAAAAACAAAAAAAATAAAGAAGAAATAAGTAGCCGTTTTAGACACATTATAAAATTAAAAGGTATTTCAGAAGGAGCTTTAGAAATACTATTACTAGGCTGCATCAAAGAAAGAGCCACAAAGGCAGTATATATTTTAAGAAAAAGAAATGGCTGAATGAAACAAGCAGCAGTCATTACTTTTGAAAATGAAACGGATTTAGAAAGAGCAACTAGTAAGCTAATTAGGTATAACAACTGGTTACTAAACTGGGAGCAGAGGTGCAGATATAATAACTACCCACAAAGCCCAGAAAGAGATACATAGAGAGAAAGATCTTGGCAACTAAAAGCAGTCTTTACGAAGAAAGATCGAGAGAAATATCATATAACAAAGAGAAAAAAAACTTAGAAAAGCAAGAAAGAGATATTTCAAGTACAAAAAAACAACACAAAGATAATAAATGAAGTCGAAGTCAAGACAATCAAAAAGTATACTCAAGCATTATAAGCAGAATTGACAAACATTAAATAATGCTAAAAGAAATATTAAGAAGATTAGATAGTATGAGCAATGAGCAGGCAATGCCTGCTCAATGCTTCTAGAAGATGCCTTAGTTAAATTTTGGAAAACTGATTGAGAGACTGGCATCTTTCACAAAAGCTCTCAGAATATACAAAACAAAGAGAAGAAGAAAGTCTTCGATCAGCAAAGAAATATATATGAAAAAAAAAGAAAAAGAAATGCAACAAAAGCAGGATTTCACAACATCAATGGCATTAAAATATGCAAAAGCAGAGTAGAAACAACTATAAATTTTATAAAAAATAAGAATATTAATATATTAGGAATAGCAGAAACAAACTTATTTGAAAAAGAAGGAAAATTTTTAGTTAAAAAGCAAGAGTACTACTTTGTATATTGGTTAGCAGCAGAAGAACAAAAGAAAAAAGAATCAAGAGTCAGCATTCTGATTGATAAGCAATGAGAAGAACATATAGCAAAGGTATTTAAGAAGAGTCTATATATTATCAATATAATACTAGACTTCAAAGAGATTATGATCAATATCATAGTAGTATATGTAGCACTAAACAACTAAGAAGTATACAAACAGATAAAGACTTATATAAAAAAAGAATAGATATAAGCAACAAGAAGAAGCAACAGAGATTTGTAATAATAGAAGACTTCAATACAAATCTTAGCAATATTGTTACAAACTAAGTATTAAGCAAAAAGAAAAATACAAAGAAGAAAATTATAGAAGAAATAGAATCAAGAGGCTTGGTAGACATTTGGAGAAAAACAAATCCAGAAGATGAAGTAGCAACATAGAATAATCAAAAGTCAAGATTTAGAATAGACACAATTTGGGTTGACAAAATCTGAGCAGAAAATATAATATCAAAAAAGACAATAGACATAGTGCTTATAACAGAAAGTGATTACAAAGCAGTAGTACTCAAACTAAAAACAGGAATAGATCTAAGAATAAGAAATCAGACAAAGATAAAATATCTGAAAAAAAAGAAAATAAATATTGATATAGATAAAACAAACAAAGAAGACTGTGAGAATTATGAAACCAAGCTTGAAGAAGAACTAAGAAGAGGCATAAAGAATATCACAGACTGAAATAAAGAAGCTCCAAGGATATAAACAGAAGCAGCAACTTATCAAAAAAGAATACGATAAGATGAAGAAAAATTTAACATGCTAGATATAGATAGCATGTAGGATATAATTGAGATATTGATAAGAAAAGCAGTATTCAATACTCTGCCTAAAAAAGAAAACCTCACAGAACTAAAGTCAGTATTAGAGTATAGTGAAGTAGTAAGAAAATTATAGCTAGAAACTCAAATACTTAATAAATAGTGCAGAAAAATAAAGAAGACAGGATATACAGGTTTGGTAAAGAAAAAAAAAAATTTTGAGAGATATATATTAAAGATCAAGACAAAATAGAATTTACCAGAGCTGACTAATCTAAGAAACCATAAAAGCTTAGAAGTATAGTAAAAAATTATATACAAAAGGTAGCAAACAGAAAGATGTATAGAGGAAGAAGGAAAGATCAGAGATGTTATCACGAAAAGATTTAAAATGGTGATAAAAGATTAGAGAAAAATGATAGATAGCCTATTAGAGAAGCTATATAGAAGCATAAGACTAAAAAAATACTCAAAAGCAGAAAGGATAAGGAGAAAGAACAAAAACTAGTGAATAAGCTTAAAGAAGTACTAGAAGAAGTAAAAAATCATTTCCAAAAGCTGTTTAAAAAAAGAAATACGAAAGCCAAGAAACTATTAGGAGAGTAGAGAGAAAGATACAAACTAGTCAGAAGCATTCAAGAAAAATAGTATTAAGACCTAGCCAATGAGGTATTTAGTGAAGACTGAATAGAAGCTTTAGAACAGACCAAAAATTCTTCTGCATCCAGCTTTACAGGAATCTCCTATCTACTTATCAAAAATGTGAATGCATCTGCAGAAGAACTATTTAGAAAACTAGCAGACAAATGCTTTAAGCTAAGAAAAATACCAAAAAAAATTGAAAATTAGGTTGTTATACACAATTCTAAAAAGAGAAAATTGGAATTTCAACCTCAACAATATCCATTCTATCTTGCTTCTAAAAACGTTCAAGAAAACAGTAATACAAGTACTCAATAATAGGCTAGAAAGAAAGTTAAAAGAGAAAAAAATTCTAAAAGAAAGAAACTATACTGACCTATCAAAAGAAGGAATAGCAGAACTTATACAGATACTAAATAGCATAGTAGAAGATGCAAGAGAAAACAAAAAAGAACTTTGGATCTTATTTTAAGATATAAAAAAAGCTTTTGACTCAGTTAGCATAGAAATGCTGAAACTAGCTTTAAAAAGAATTATAATACCTCAGAAAACTCAGGACTTTATAATAAACCTGTATAAGAGCAGAAAAATGGAGGTGATTATAGGACATGAAAATACAAAAAAATTCAAAGCTGAAGACAACATAGATCAAGGGTAGAAATGTAACTTTTTATCTGACCAATCTGAATAATCTAAATAGGATATAATTATTTAGATAAATTTTGATTTTAGATAATTAGACCAAATTATCCAGTTATCTAATAACTAATATATAATGACAATATAATAATGAAGTTAAATAGATAAATTAAAAAGTTTAATATATTAAATAAAAATATATGAATATTTAAAATAAAAAATTCAATACTATAAAATTAAAAAAAATAAATAAATAAAATAAAAATTAAACATAAAAAAAATTTTTGTCTTATTCTTATTAATCATGGATAAAATTCATGAAAATGACTCAAATAATAACTCTCAAAATTCAAAAAAAAAAAGTTAACATTTCATCTTTAACATCTAATAAATCTGATAAATCTGCTAAAGAAAATTCAATAAGTAAAGTGTGGCTTTATTTTAAAACAAACAAAGTCAAAAAAGTTGGAAGATATAAAGTAAATTTACTTAATAAAAATGGATATAAATGATATGGTGAAAAGGTAAATTTTAATACTGGAAAGTCAACAGATAATTTCTGTTATTATCTTAAATTGGTATATGTATTACTAGAAACAACATCGATAATATATCTAATATTAAATATAATTAAATAAGTTTAATTCGTAAGCAAATTTTGAATAATAAAATTGTATCCTTTATATGTAAGAATCAAATTCTAATTACAAACTTCTATCCAAAAAAGCTATAAAGATTTTTTTTTTTTTTTTAAAGGTTGGTTGTGCCTTATATCTTTTATTAATACAATATGCCATTTTTTACAATTTTATTCGAATTTATATACAGAATTATATATTAGAAGATCATGAGACTTAGACTATTTTTATCTATAACCCAATCCCTTATCTAAACCAACTGTGTCCTGTTCATATATGATTAGGATTTTTTGCACTTCGAACTATTTTTATTAATATTCTATATATATTTCCCACATTACTCACTTAAGCCACAAATATACTTTCAAATAGGTATTGTAATCAAGGTTCCATAACAGGTTTACTTCCTGATTTGGTGGTAGACGTTGTCAGTATTCCTTTCAGATGCTAGACTTACTATTTCTAACTGTCTTTTTGTTCATTATCTACTAACGCACCTTCTAGACTTTTCTTTTTTTTTAAAGTATTAGCCTTTGTGGTTCTTATAATTGTTTATTTGTACTTGCATGCTGTGTTTTTATTTTCAGACAGAAACTTCTATAGTTGATTAGATATAGGCTATGTTGTGTAATCAGACAGATTACTTTCAACAGGATTTTGTAATACTTAACTACTTCCAACTTGGGTATTTTACAACTTGGTTGATGTTCTAAAGTTGGTGTGCCCTTGCGATGTTGTTATACTTGTTTTATACTATTTAAGTACTACCAGCTTGGTATATCCTAGCTGTTTCGAATTTACACATTTCCTAGATAAGAACCTTTGCTCTATATTTAGAATCTTCTAATTTTAGTTTTTTCATACAAGGCACCAGAGGTGCTTCCAAATTTGATAAGGCCAATTCTTTACTACAGGCTGTTTTTATATTCATCACTTCTCTTACTACTCCAGTTTTAGTTATTGTTGTATCATTCTTCCAATTAAATCTAGTACTACAATACCAGGATTTATATGCGCAATCTGGTAATTATCTTCTCAATCAAGTTCCCTACAAGTTGGCTATTGAGATGTTGGTGTTGCTTAAACTAAAAGTATAAGGATGTTGGTGCTGCCTGCTTACAAGAACTTACTTGCACAATCTTCAATAACTTTAACCTTCTGTAACACTGCTGCTACGTGTAGTACCTGCACTTCATAATTGGGTCTCTTTCTAGGAATTTCTAATCTAATTTTGTACTTGCACATGGACTTCCACAGGGCTTCACATTCGATTTGGCTCCAATTGGTTATAGTAGTAAATTAATATTTTGCTACCAGTCCGACTCGAACTGTTGACCTTGTTTGTGGGGGTTTGGGAGCTTAACCAATAAGCTACGGGACTCAAACTCTAAACAATTCTTTAGTAAACTGAAGAATGATCATAGTATAATATAATACTGTTAGTTTTATATATAAATCACTATAAATACAAAAGAAAAATTTTCTAATAATTGCTAAAAAAACTTTTTTATACTAAGTTAATTATCTTTAAATCTTTAATAAAATTGTAAAGTTCATTGAACGAATCTAATAATAGTTAGATCATTAAAATCAGTTTAGTAAATACTAAAATATCTTTAAAAAATATTTTGTTAACTATATAAAATTTTTTAAAAATAATACAAAAAATTTTTATATAGTTAATAAATTTTTTTTAAAGATAATTTGGTATTTATAAGACCAATTTAAATGATTTAACTACTATTAGATTCATCTTGATAAGCTTTATAACTTTATTTAAAGATACAAAGATGATTAATTTAGTATAAAAAAGTTTTTTTTAAACAATTACTAAAAAATTTTTCTTTTATATCTATAGTGATTTATATATAGAATTGTATTACATTACACTTACTATATAAACTTCTTTGCAAACAATACTATTGTTTGCAAAGAAGTTTACATAGTAAAAAAAAAGTTTTTAAAAATATTTTGGCACTCACCAGGCCAATTTTGATGTTCTAACCACCATTAGATGCGTTTTAACAAGCTCTACAAAAGTTTCTTAAGCAAGAAAGGTGATTAACTTAGTATAAAAAAGTTTTAGATTCATGCAGGCCACATTCACACTATAATAAATTTATATAGTAATCTGAGTCATATTTTATTATGATTACTCTCTGGCTAACTTGTGGATTACCAATTTATATATTACTTTACAGACTATTTTTTTTAACTAGCCTTTTTTGGCTGAGGTTTTTATTCAAATATTTAAATAGAGGGCTTCTATGAAACCTCTTACATTAGAAAATACAATTAGCTATATGTGCAACTTTTAATTGCCTATTTAAGTATTCACATATTGATATTATATTATATAGTAGATTCTATACTGGCTATCATATTACAACTTGACTAAAAATTATCTATTTAAACTTTCTATAATGCAACTTGTCTTGTATTACCAATAAATTTTTATTACAATCATTAGTTAAGAAGTTCTAGATGCTTTTTCTAATATTTTTAGAACTAATTTATCTTTGAGATATCATTGTTAAAGCTTTTTATATTTACAATCTGGTTAATCTAAACTTTTAGTAACTTATGCTAAGCCTGAAAACAAGTACTTGCAAGCTAAAGCCACTACCGTTACCTACTACTGCCCTTGTAGAGTTCATCTAAATCCTAATACATACTTTATGAACTATCATTGACTTTTTTAATATACCAACAGTGTTTTCAAACTTCTAATCCAGATGGTCTAGAAGGAATTTGTATTTATTGGTATTCTAATAAATCTTTTTTCTTATATATATATAGCCTGATTAATATAGTATCTTGCTAAATATCTGATCCTTGTTCAGTTTACTGCTAGATATAATTGCTAATAATTATTTTATATAATATTGTTAAAGATCTGTACTATCTTTTTATTTAGAACTTGTTAAGTAGGCTTTTGTGTGCTCCAAGCCTTTGGATTTATATAGCCATTTTATCTAGATTTCATATAATTTATATATTATACTACTGTTTTACAGCCTTCTAGTACAAGCTGGTATGATCAGAGTTACAGTTACCAACTAGTCAGATTACATACAGTCTGCTATAATATATTTGATAAAATTTAAATTTCATCATTAGTGGGATTCAAACTTTTGTTCTGCCATTTGGGGATGCAACAACTTATCAACTTTATTAAGTTATTACACCCTTTTACAAAAAATTAATTATATATTTAAAGAATAAATAGATATATGCAAAATGAAGCAAATATGATATTTTTATTATTAATAACTCTGAATTCACTAAAGAATCTACAATATAAAGGAGATATGTCTATTTTGATGCAGTTAAAGTTTTTGCTAAATATCACATAATATATCAACCAAAACTAAATAATTTTAGTATTATTTAATTTGTATTGTTAAAATAAATTGAATAGTATCAAAATTATCTAATTCTAATCACTAAATCATAATGTTACAAGTAGACTGTAGCCTTCTTAATATAGCACAAGTAACAAAGCACACAGCTATAGAGCTCTGTTGCGAGATTAT